AAAAACATTATCTACTGTATCATCAGAACTAATAGAGTAGTCTACAGATCAGCTTTTATCTATCCTTTATTATCATTTGTACTGCTTCTTCATGGAATATGAAGGAAGAATTTCCCTCATTACTTCAAGGATTTTCGCAAGGTTTATGGTAAGTCTTGCTTATATTCATCATTGGGAGACAATGATACCACTATAAATGTACTAGACAAACATTTCTTTCAAATTTCCTTAACGTTTGACTTTTAAAAGAATTTCAGGCACAAACATTAAAAATTCTATCTTAACATTATAATGGATTAAAATTCTTGTATGTCTTATACATTCTTGTCTGTATAGTCGATCAATTTTCTTGTGAAATTTCTTCTGTAAAACGTTACGCTTTTGGACTCTTTTCTTTCCATGGTACAACAAATCAAATTTAATCTTATTTCCACAATATTTCTTGCATATGTCTCTTTACTACTCCTGTGTCCACTACTCATGCCCTTATTTATCTCTCACATGAACTATTGACTTTTTGTAAATCTCATGGGCTCAAGTCTTTCTACCATTTAATCTAATACATAACTGCAATATTAATCTTCCTAATGCACAACTCTGATCATATCACTCCACTGCTTAAAAAATTTAAATGGCTTCCCATTGCCAAATATAGTCCAAACTCCTCAGCCTGAAGGCTCTGGCCTTCTACAGTCTGGCACTTCCTTATGCTCCTTTACCAGATCTCATGTTACCCTCATGATTTCTGCTTCCTACCCCAACTTTTTGTCCCATGTACATGTCCCACATTCTCTTAGCTCCATGGTTTGCTGTTCCTTGTGCCTGGAATACCCTTCACCTCATCTTAACCTGGTAATATCCATCCTTAAAAGCCAAGCCTTCCTCAATCTCTCTAGTCAGAAGTGATCCTTTCTTCTTTTAACATCCCAGGACTTTGTATACCTCTTATGAATTTATCATCCTAGTCCAATTCGTATCATATTTACCGATGCATATCTACTAAGATTGTCATAGAGGCAAAGAATGGTAGTTAGAGGAGACTTGAAAAGTCACCAGGTATAAACCTTGCCAAAAACACGAATCACATCTTCAACATCCTTGATGAATGAGTGTCTAGCTTCCATTTGAAGACTTGCACTTTAATGTAATCAGTACCCTTCTTCCTCCATTGCACTCATTCCAGTTTGAGAAAGCTAATTGCTTGGAAGCTTCCCCTTATGTTGAGCTGAAGTGTGTCTTCCTATAACCTCTACCTACTGGATTTAATTCTGCCTTCTGGAGTGAAGTATAAAGACTCTAAACCTTTTTCCACATAAAGAACATCCAAATACTTAAAGACAGTTATTTTTTGCTTCCAAAGCCTTCTCTTCTCTAAGAGAAGGGTGCCCTCCCAGAGGGCAGGGACTATGCTTTACTCCTGTTTGTATCTCCTCCCACCAGCTCCAGCACATTCGGCAGTACAGGCATTCTTAAGAACTGTTTGTTCAATAAATATTTTAAATAACAGCGTGGTCCATAGGCAAATTCAATAAACATCAGCAGGTATAAAGGTAGTTAAACAAAAACAAAACAAACCCAACCCCTGACACTAAACCTGTATTGTTATAGAGAGCTGGATGTACAATTGCCTAGCAGCTAGTAGGTATCTTCAAATAAGCTATAATGCTGGTCATTCCCTGCAAGCAGAGAAAGATGATATAACTAGTTAAGTGAAAGAAAAAATTTTTTAAAAGTCCCCCCTTTCATTCATTAAGAATATGCATTTTAAAAGCAATAGGTAAATATGTGACATCTTTAAAAGCTGGGTGATGACATTTTTGAGTTATTAATGGTTTTATTTTTTGGGAACCTGAAGCATCACTACATGAAAAAATAGTCATTCTGTCCTTATTCTCCTCTATTCAACAGCACCTGCTATAAAGTTGGCAAGCATTAACAAAACAGACCAGTTTCATCAGATTGTCAAATTGTTCAGGGGATAGACTGAATCCAGAAAGAACAACTCTGATAAAAAGTCACAAAACTTTTTTGTAGCTTCACGGTTAATTGATTTAAAACAACAAATAACCAAACAAGGACCAAAAAAAGATCTAGTTAGCTTTCCAGCTTTGAAATGCAAAACCATGTCAGGAAGGACACATAGCTAAATCAAATGCATTGGCTCCTAAAACTCTTTTTGTCTTTTCAGTTAGTAGTGGGCCACAGAGAGAGCTACTTTTTGATATTCCTGATGAGAATTACTTATATAAAATTCCATAGCTGCATAAATTGCACTGAAGATTTAGTTGACTCAGAACTTGTGAAGAATTCAACCAGGTTGTCCTCAAAGATGAATCAATATTGTACTGATCCATCAAACTTTCCTATGCTCATCTTTTCTGAATATGCAAAGACTTTTGAGTTTACTGGAAGTTTTTTAAGATTCTGTTCTTTGTTTTTCTCTAGAGAACCATTTAGAGTCCATGGAAGGATTCCATGACATACCTGTTTTCTATTGCTTATATAGTACCCTACTGTGTTAGTTTAGCTTGTCATAATAAGTGCAATGAATACCCTGCCATACTATATTGAATGTGTGTGTGTATACACATAGACACAGACACAGACACAGACGACAGCTAGCTGGTACAGTGGATAGGGTGCTAGGCTTAGAGTCAGGAAGACTCCTTTTTCTGAATTCAAGTATCGCCTTAGATGCTTACTATGTGACCCTGGAAAAGTTACTTAATCCTGTTTACCTTAGTTTCTCATTTGTAAAATGAGCTGGAGAAGGAAATGGCAAACCACTCCAATATCTTTGCCAAAAAAACCCCAAGTGGGGTCACAAAGACTGGGAAACAAACATGCTAATATATAGTCAGAATAACAAAACTGATCATACTTATTAATTCTACTTCAGTATTAATTCTACTTCATCAAAGAGAACCTATATACATAAAGATATCCATAGCTACACAAAGATACTCTATTTGTAATATCAAAAAGTTGAAAACAACTTGTATGTTCAATAATTGGAGAATGGCTTATTTTTGATTTGTCAATGTAAAGAAACAGTGTAACAATAGCGGATAAAAGTAGGAGAATCAGACTCTGACAAATATTAGCTATTTGATCAGGTAAGTCACCTAACTTAAAGAACTCAGGCAACTCTCTTAGACCCTAACTTACAGATGAATGGTTGTTGATTTGCATTGGCAGAAAGTTTTTTTTTTTTAACACAAGGAGTTCCCTAAATCAATGAAACATTGGTCCTGACCCTCTTCCTTCCCTTTCCTCCAAATGTAATAGAATATTATGGTGCTACAAAAAATAAGTAAATAACATGTAAAGAAATATGGAAAGATGTATTAGAAGTGATGCTGAGACCAGTACAGCCAGAATTGTATATATGCTGACAACTGTTTACATTCTTAAAAGAAAAAAAAAAGCAAGAGATGGCAGAACTTCAGACAAACTTGGAGGGCAGAAAACAAAAAATATTTTTTGCTTGTTTATTCTTGTCTACATTGTTAAAACCTAAGGATTTCAATGTATGGTTTTATTCTTTACGTTGTATGTTTATTTGTTTTTGTTGATGGTTATTAAGTCTATAATAAATATTTTTTAGAAAAGGAAAACAATAGAGAGTGTTTTATATGTTATCTAATATCCTTAGATATCTATTCCTGTATTAAAACTAATCAGTAGGCCTAAACTGCTTTGTATGGCATCATCACTCAGTTGGTAACAACTCCCAAAGAAAGGTGGGATGAACTTAACGTTGCAAACACTAACCTGATTTAACATTAGGAACATCACAAGTAGCAAAATGCCTATGCTTCATAGTCAAACAAAACACTATACAAATAAATATTGGAGTTGAAGGAAAGAATTTGGCAGGTACCTAGGAAGAAACAATGGATTTGGAGTCAAACAACCTGGGATCCAATCCCAGCTGTCACTTACTGTGTGACCCTGTGCAAGTCACTTTTACTTCTATGGATCTCACATGCAAAATAGGCCCCTTCCAATTCTAAATTCCTTTTTCCTAGAACTTTAATTCGAACATTGGCACATGCTCTCTGTAACTGCCTTTTTACAATACCCAGCACAGACAGGCATTAAGTCAAAGATTCTCACGATCACGAATTAATTTGAACAGGACTTCATCCTCTGGAGGGTGCTGATGTCCCTAACACAGCCCCCAACTAAAGAGGCAGAATTCAATGCAACAAATATTTATTTTAGATGCCTCTCTAAGCAAATCTGGCCCTGCCTACCGTCACTGTTAATGTCTTTATGGCTTACATTGTTGGGTGATCCAGCCAAAGAAATATAGAGGGCCCCCCACATTCTCCTTAAAGACACAGCCTACCACCTTGCAGTGGCGAAATACCCTTCCCTCAGGGCACAGTGTTGGGTGCAGCATTCAGGTTCTTGCTCCCACCTGTCACTCACTACCACCTGTCTAAGATGCAGCCAACCCGGGGCCTTGTAGTGACAAGGGCAAAGGGCTGCCTCTGCTGGCACAGGTGGCATGGGGGGGCAGAAGAGAAATGCGGCAGGACTGCCTCCAGCAATACCACCCTCGCTTAGCTGCACCTATCACACTGCTCTTGGCCTGAGAGCCCCAAGTCTAGAATGCGGGGCTCCCTCCCGTCTCGAGATCCCTTGCTCCAGCTCCAACCTAGGGTTCCTCTGACAATGGCCGTCTCCTACTGGTCGCTAGCTCGGCCCAAGGACTGGATCTCCGGCCGGGGCAGGCGCAGGACCTGTCTGGGATTCTCAGGCTCGCGGTTCGTACTAGGGGAGCGCGCGCCCCCGCGCGCCTGCGTAGTCGTGCTCGTTCCCGGGCATCCCTTCCCCGAACTCAGCTGGGGGGAAGGTTCACTGCTAGAGCAGGGCGGGCGGAGGGAAGACGTGGAGTGCTTCCCGTGCGGGGTTTCCCACAATGCACCTTGGCGGCGGCGGCGGCGGCGCTCTAGCCAGGGCATGTCTGCACCTCGACTGCTCTGGGAGGAGGAAGAGAAGGAGGAAGAGGAGGAGGAGGAGGAGGAGGGGGAGGAAGAGGAGAAAGGCGCAGGGGTGGGAGCTATTGCTGAAGCTGCCACCACCAAAGTTTCTCCCCCCTCCCCCCCTTCCCCTCCTCTCACGGCCCATAGAATGGCCGGAACCGCTGCCGCCCCCGGTTGGTGACCGCGCTGTTCGCCGCCCGCGGTAAAGAGCACGGCCTGGCAGGCCAGGCCTGCGCTCCAGGCGGGAGGGGGAGAGCGCGCGGCTGCGGAGGGGGGGGGGGGGGGGGGCGGCCGGGGGGGGGGGGCGCAGATGCGGGGAGCGTCTGAGGGGGAGGGATGGATGTAGTGGTGGTGGGGAAAAGGGGAAAGGAAATCCATGAGGGGGAAGCCCGTGAGGGAGAGAGAGAAGGATCGAGGCACGGAGGGAGGGAGAAGGGGCATTCTGGAGAGGGAGTGAGGACCGGGGTGCATTAGGGCCGAGGGGTAATGAAAGGGGTGTCGGGCAGGGAAGGGGCTGTCTGAGGTGGGAGGAGGGTGTCAGGAGGAGGGGGACTGACTACTACCTGTGGTGTGAAGGGAACGTTGGGAGGGGAGGGAGTGTGCGAGGTATGGAGGGGGTGTCAGGAGAAGGAATACTTTGAGGTGGGAAGGAGTTGTCAGCCGAAAGGGGACTACCTGAGGTGTGAAGGGAATTTTAGGAGGGTAGAGACTATGTGGAGTGTGAAAGGGGGTGGTATCTGGAGGGGAGGAGATACCTGAGGTGTAAAAGGGGTATCTGAAGAGGGGAGGGACTGCCTGAGGTGGGAAGCAGGTATGTGGAGGGAAAGGAATTCGTATATGAGGTGTGAAGGGGCTGTCAGAAGGGATAGAATATTGAAAGGTGGAAGTTTATGTCCCAGGAGTAGGAGGGGGTGGGGAAGGAATTGAGGTGTGAAGGGAATGTCAAGAGGGGAAGCACTATCTGAGGTGTGAAGAGAATGTCAGGAAGGGAGGGAATGCCTGGGATGTGAAGGGGATGTCAGGAGAGGAGGGAAAGTTTAAAAGGGGTATCAGAGGAGAAAGAGAGGGTATGAGGTTTGAAGGGAATGTCAAGAAGGAAGGACATATCTAAAGTGTGAAGGGGATATCAGAGAAGGGGAGAAACCTGAGATTTGAAGGAATTAGAAGAGAAAAGAGGAGGGGGGTCATTGAGGGGGGAACAATGCAGAGGATGGGAGAAGGTGTCAAAGGTGTATGTGTAACTGTGGAAGATGTGTTTGAATGAGGAGCATGTGGAGGGAATGAATCCCTAGAGTATTTAGCATTATTTTGCACATAGTAGGCATCACAGTGTGTAAAATAATATTGATGGAGTGAGTGGCTTTAGGAAGATGGGAAGGACCAAGGTTGGAGAGAAGGGTGTAGTAGGAGTATCAGTAGCTATGAGGGGTGGATAAAGAGTTGCCCCATGGTAGAAGGAATGAAGGGGTATCTGGAAGAGCCATTGGGATTCAGGTGATGTTCATTGTGGGAAGATGTATGGAAAGGTGGTGAGGGAGAGAAAGGAATGGCTATGAGGAATATCTAGTAATAAAAACCTGTGTTCAAGGCAAGAGGGTATGTTAAGTGTTGGAGATAAAGAGGTAGAATAGAAAAGGGTAACTGAAGAAGAGTGAAGGACTGAAGAGTACCTGCTTCACTATTAACCCTGATTTGATATCAGCTCTGATAGGACTCCTCTCTTGTTTTGTCATTCTCCTCATCTTATAAGCTGGATCTAGCTTGTGTTTTGGACTCACTATGGGGATGAATCTTGGAGTTAATTTGGTCCAGGATAACTTAAGGCAATTCTATTGAGCCCTAGATCGAACTTGAACCTTTATGATAGTCCTGGAATGAAGGCAACAGGCTGTGATTTTGAAAATCTAGCAGATTTATAGTAATGTGTCAATAATCTAATGAAAACAATTCTGGAAAAATGCCAGAATAGAAATAACTTTATTGGACGTATTTGTCAACTATATTGCCAATTTGATGCAAGAGAGCTGGTGCCATATTATCAAATCTGGTCTAAAGGGTTATATTACTAGAGTGGTGGCAGACAAAAGGGAAGATTCCGGTGCAATGTGCAATAAATAAATAAATATATTTATTTATTTTTGCTAGGCAATGGGATTAAGTGACTTGCCCAGGGTCACACAGCTAGTAAGTGTCAAGTGTCTGAGGGCGAATTTGAACTCAGGTCCTCCTCACTCCAGGGCTGGTGCTCTATCCACTTTGACACCTAGCTGCCCCAATAAATATGTTTAAATCCCAGATTCTGTTTTAGTGGACCCTGAGTTGGATGGGTTGGTTGGGAAAGGCTTGCTTCATAAAATATTAGAAGTGGAAGACTATTTTAAGAGATCATCTAGTCCAACTTCCTATTTTTGCCAGAGAGGAAACTGAAGTCTCAGGTATGTTCATATGATGTTGGGAGGGAATACTTGAGATATGATGAGGGTATGAGAGGAAGAAAGAAGATATCTGACATAAGGGGGTGTCAGGAATAGTTTTCTTACTCAGAGATTTCCTCTGCAATTTTTTACTTTAGTAGATGTCCTGTGAAGAAAAATGTTCTAGTCCAAACCCAGAAAGTGTGCACCTGGATTTGAGTTGATTCAGAAGTCTCTCCTAGTCTCTTGGGTGGCTAAAGGAGTTCAGGACCTGCTCTTTGTTATTCTGTAGTCCCTCCAGAGGCGCCCTAACAGGCTGAATGTCTTGGATCCTACCAGGAAAGAATACTAGAATCTTTCCATAACAGGAACAAGACTGATTTTTGCTGAGCTAGATTACTTAAAGTCATTCTGGGATAGATCCCCAAGGAGGAACCCTATTCTATAGCCATATATACCCTGAGGCCTATCTTAGATCTTAGAAATTCAGCCTGTTGGATTAGAAAGGTGAGATAGACCTCTTTATTCCACACTTTGCTTAACTGTTTTCATAGGGGAGAGGATGGTTCATAGATGGGGTGTCTTGGGAAGTTTATGAACAGAGCGAGGAAAGGAAGAATTGAAAATAATCAAGTTTGAGGTGGGCAGATGAAGGGAATCTCTGAAAGGGCAGGATGTCTTTGAAGGGGAAGAATCATTAGAAGTGGAATCCAGGAGATATATACGTAGGGGCAATTGGAAAAGTGAGAATGGTAAGGAAAATGGAATGAGTTATAGGAATGACAACTTGAGAGGAACAGCAAAGGGAAAAGTTGTTGGATGTGCCTTTGAGAGAATAAGAAATGGAGTATTTAGGTATCAGTGATTTTTATCTAGAAAGAACTGCTTTATGAAATAGTGAGCTTCAGACCCAGGGGAGGTGTGATGACCACTTGTTAAAGATGCCTTGGGGTTAAACTGTCTTGTCTTTAAGATTTCTTTCAATTCCAAAATTATGTGAGCCAATGAGTTTTGTGGAAGTGAGAGGGAAAAAATCTTCAAATTGTAGCATAAGGGATTCAAGTTTCAGATAACTAAAGCTGCTGGATAGTGAGTTTTAGAACTTGAAAGTAGTTACTAGTTTTATTGTGTAATGTTCTTCTTGAGGATTTTTGGCATTATTTGTGGGGTTGGGGGGCATGATTCAGTCCATCTTCTGTTCTAAAAGGGGGTTACTGCAGAATGGAAGTGGTAGCCACTTTGTGGAAGGAGGATAAGGTTATATAAAGGGTGAATGACAATGGTTAATGGAGCTGAGGGCATTTGGGTGTAAGTACTTGGAGGACTTTAATTATAGTCAGAGACAGTTGAAGCTTATGAGTAAAAAAAAGCCTATTTTATAGCTGAAATTCAGGCTCAGGTTAAGTGACTTGTCCATAGTCGCAGAGTGATCCTAGTATCATTTTTTCCACTATACCATGCTGCCACAATAGGATAGTTGAGGAGATATATGATCATTTTAAAGGAAGTTTATCGAGATACCAGAGTGAATTGTTTAAAATGTTGATCTATGGAGGATGTCTACATGAATATGTGAGAGGCAATATGGGCAGTACTAATAACATTTATATAGTGCTTTAACTTTTACAAAGTATTTTGTCTTCTTCATGTGAACCTTATGAAATAGGAAGTATAAATGTTAATATCCCCTTTTTATAATTGAGGAGACAAATTCAGGTTAAATGATTTGCCCTGATCATAAAACTAGAAAGGGTTGGAACTGCAGTCCTGTTCTGAGTCTAAGTCCAGTGATCGTTCCATTAAACAATGCTTGCTAGAACCAGGATAATAGATGTTGGTAGGTTCGTCTTAAGATTTCTCTTCTTAACAAACATTGCCTGACTAAAGTCAACTCTTCATGCTCTTTCCCTAATTTTAATCACCTTAACACTAGTAGTGTAAATATAACACAATAATGCGACTACTTATGTATTTCCTAAGAATTGTTCTATTGATTTATGTATGTCCCTCTTGTTTTCCCAGCTAGATTTTAATCTCTTCAAGGTAGTGTATTCTGGGGACTGTAAGGGACTGTATATTCTGTTTCTTTCATATCCCTTACAATAACCACTACAGTGCTAACCACAAAGTAATGATTTAAATATTTGTTGAATTAGTTGTTAAAAAGCTAGCATTCATATATTTCTTTAAGGTTTGCAAAGCACTTTACAAATATTATCTCATTTGATCCTCACAACAACTCTTGAAGGTAGGTACTATTATTATTATCCTAATTTTTTTTGGTAGGTACTATTATTATTATCCTTATTTTTTAAGGAGCAAGAATTGAGACTGACAGAAGTTACGTGTTTTGCTCAGAGTCACACAGCTAATACTTGTCTGAGGCTGGATTTGAACTCGGGTTTTCCTGACTCCAGGTTCAGTGCTGTATAATTCACTGTGACATCTACCTACTTCACATATCATGTGAGAGTGTGTTACTGGTAAGGAAAATGGTGGAACTTTCCAAGATAGAGCGAGAATTAGGGTTGTGTAGTAGGAAGGGATTTGATATTTTTGGTTTGGTTTTTTTTTTGGTAGGCAGTGACTTGCCCAGGGTCACACAGCTAGTAAATGTGAAGTGTCTGAGGTCACATTTGAACTCAGGTCCTCCTGACTCCAAGGCCGGTGCTCTACCCACTACACCACCTGGCTGCCCCAATATGATGTTTTTGGAAAATAGCAGTATTCAGTTTGATTAAATTCCAAAACATTTATTGGGTGCCTGCTACATGCCAAGCACTTTGGTGCTAGTGATACAAAAACAAAAATGAAAGTGTATGGAAGGTGGTTTTGGCAGGGGGACAATTCATGAAGAGGAGAGAAAAAAATGTTTTGCTCTTTCAGGAGGTGAAGTATAGAAGAGATTTGATAGAACAAATTACATTAGATTTAGGTGAAAACGAAAAGGTAAAGTGAGTGAAAATGGGGCTTTAACAACAGTATTTAATGTACAAAGGGACCCAAGAGTTCTCCCCAAACCTAATTCTCTTTGGTTTGGAGTTGGTCTGGCCTGTAATAGAACTTCGTTTAGTCTTTGGTTCTCCACTCTATAACTGCTTGTAGGCTGGGTGGGATCTGTATTGGTCCAAGGATTTGATTCAGTTTATGAAATGTCTGCTATTATATACTGCAGGGGATAAGAAAAGTGCAGGACACAATTTCTTGTCTGTTTGAGGGGAAATAAAACATATGAAACAGTTAAGTAATAATGTGAAGTGTCAATATAACATGAGAGATATTAAAACAATTCCTTGTTTAAAGTTATAATTGTGTACTGTTGTCACCCTGTAGAGTAATAAACTTATTTCAAGGATGCCATTGTTCAAAATGTTTTTTTAGAACCTTTCTTTTGGAATTACCTTTACAACTATCTGCACATTTTTTGGAATATCCTCTGTGGTCCTTTAAACATATTTTTAATTTTTGGGTTGAGCTAAGTCAGGACTAAGCCTAATGAATAAGGTGGGTGATCAAACTAGATAATACTCTTTTTGGTTAAAACTTGTGACTATAAGGTAGTAAGACTTGTGGAAGGAGCGGGGAAATTTGTAGTTGGATCTTAATACTGTTCCAAAAATACTTTTTTTTTTTTTAAGCAAGGGAGGCATTACAAAAATAAGTGTAGACCCTCCTACCCCATAGGTGAGTACTTTAAAGGACATCAGTCTCCCAGATATATGTGTTCTCATATACTCCACATACTACATTATAGTCATTTTCCACATAAGGAAATATATGATTAAGTGTCAAAATGAGAGAAATAGCAAGTGATATATATAGGAGTTCAGGGAAGGGAGAAACCATTATGACCTAGAGTCACTGGGAAAACTTAGTGGATTTAGACTAGCTCTAGATCTAGGAGGGAAACAGAATGGAATCAAACTCCTATCTACTGTAGACTAGATGTTTTGAATGAATGAAAGGACTTTTGGCATAGTTTTGGGAAATCACTGGAAAGGCTAATATAAGAGTTGGGTTTGATGAATCAGTGTAGGGGATATGGAAAGTGAGTGTAAGCAGTAAGTGAAAGGAATCTGAGATGGAGAAAGATGGGAAATACCTGGTAGAGGGAATGGAGAAGAATGGAATAGGTATTGTGGAGATGATAAAGGGGATTATGGTAGTTTGGAATACACCTGTTAGTGTTCTGCAGTGAACTGAGGCAGGGATGTTTTGGAGAAAAGGAAGAGGGGACTTTCTGGATAGGATTACATGAAGAGCAACCTGGAAGGGGTGTCTGGAGGAAGAAGAGGAGAGTATACAAATATTTAAGGGAAGATTGGAAAGATGTAGAAGTTACTGAGTGACATAATTATAATGGAGATAATTTATCAAAATTCTCCTGATTATTTAGTGGCTGGTTCACATACTACCCTTTCCATGATGCTTTGGGAAGCTATGCTTCTGATTTTGTGTAGCAATTTATGCTGATAACAATCATAACCAGGGGAGATTAAGCAGAAAATGATATCTGGGAATTCATAGAGGGTAATAGAAAAATTAGAATAGTAAGTGGGGGGCAAGTGAAATCAGATCAGATTTTTTTAAGTGGTTTGAAGGATATAAGGGAAATATATATCTCATGCATGGTAACTTGTGTTCAACAAATATTTGTTGAATTGATATACCTGAAATATAGAGTAGTGTGGGTATATGGGGTTGTATATGTGTGATGAACTCAACATTTATTCAACAAGCTTATATTGATTATCTACTATTTACAAAGTATTCCGCCAAGCATTGTTCATGTATTTTCTGTACCACATATAATCAGATCTTTACAGTACTACGAAGTAAATATCTTTTAAATTGTACATATTGAATGCTCTAGAAGTGCTGAGAAGTGAGGCACAGCTTTTATGTTAATCAGGAATGACATCATTGGAAAGATGGCATATTCGAGCTATACCATGAGGGATAAGCTGGGGAGGGCAGAGAGAATAGCAAGAAAATAGGTGGAAAAGAATAATATATGTTTGGGGAATGGGATGTAATTCAGATTGCTTAGAAAACTGAGTTCATGTGGGGAAGTAGTAAGATAGGTCTTTTGGCAGATTATGGAGGGCCCCAAATTGTAGACAAAGAAGTTTGGCTTTTAATCAGTAGCTAATGGGGAGCCATTAATTTCTTTTATGACATGATCATAGTGATGCATTAGAAAGTTAGCAATATGAATAGATTGGGAAGTGAATAATCATGGAATGTTAGAATTAGAGGAAACCCTAGAAATTATCTGATTTAACCTCTTTTTTTTGACAGATGAAACTAAGGTGCTGAGAGATTAAATGACTTGCCCGAGGTCACACAGCTAGTAAGTGTAGGATTTGATCTCAGGTACTTCATATTTAATAATCTTTTTGTTGCATTATGTGACACAGAATGGGATTATTATAGTCTACCAATAAATATTTGTTATAGAAATTTATTATAGGAATCTTAGAGTTGGACAGAAAGGGTCCAACAGGAGCTACTTTATGAAAGAAGAATAAGTAATATTTGTTGATTAAAATTAAAGGTAGGGGACAATGTCCCAGAAGATGTCAGATAATTTCAGGATTTCTGTCAGGGGTGACAAAGAATGTCATATAACCAGGATGAATTGGTTTTGGTGGGGAATGGAGTTTTTTGTTTTAAACACTGAATTGCAAGCGTTGATAAGGCATCTGTGTGTAGATGTCCAAGACTCCAGTGGAAATGTAGGAATAGAGCTTGGGAGAGGGGTTGGGACTAGAGACAGGGATTTGTCTGCTTAGAGGTCATAGCAGAAGCTGTGGAATCACTGTAGGAGAGAATATAGAAAGAGGAGTCAGCAAAAGAGTGGTTAGAGGGATAAATGATTAAGGAGTAATGCAGTGACATAGTCATTAAGAATTTAATTGAGGGGGTTAGATAGCATCAAATGTGGCAGAAATGTTGAGGATGTAGACTGAGAAAGAGGCATTGGATTTGGCAAATGAGGTATGTTTTTTTTTTTTTAAACCGATAACCCAGTCTAGGTCAAGGATCTTGCTTTACTAGGGCAGGTTGGCAGCTGTTCTGAAATTTATAATCTTAGGAAGTTGCCTGGGGGCTCTGAGATTAAAGTATTTAGGAAGACTACAGTGGGGACTGAACCTAGGTCTTCCTGCCTCTGAGGCAGGTCTTTAGTACAACGCACTATGTCTTGTGGGAATGGTGTAGTGTTAGAAGTTAGAGGTTATTTAGTTACCTTTGTTTTACAGATGAGGAAACTGAGGCCTAGAGAGGGTGACTTGCCAGTGGTCACCCAGTTAGTAAGGGGCAGAACTGGAATTTCTACGGAAGTCTTTTCACTGTAAGCCTTATATTCTTAAATTGTACCTTGTCATTAATGTCATTAATGACCTTCAGAAAGCAGTTTCAGTTGAGCTCTGGTGACCAAAGCCATGTTGTAAGGGGAAGCGAGTAAGTGAGTGGTAAAGAAGTAAAGATGACTTCTATTTAAAAAAAAATAATTTTTGCCAGGAAAGAAGTTAAGGAAGTTCGTTCATGCCGGAAGGCCTTTCTCACTTTTTCTTAGCAAAATAAGTAGGCAGGTCATTGAGTGAAGGAGATAGAGGTAGAATTTGGGGCTTGAGAGCAGAATAATTGTTTTGAGAAATTTATTTCTGGGGAATGTCATAGCCAGTGAGCAAGCAGCAATGAGGACCTAACTAAGGTTAGATAGCAATGAATTTGTAATGGACTGAGTTAGTTATGACTTTCTCTAGTAATTTTTGGCACTGTGGGCATAACTGATGTTTAGAGATTGACATGGTGGGCACAGCAGAAATCAAGGGAGTCAAACTAGACCAGTAAAAGGCAAGATTAAAGTGGTTTACCATGGAGTTCAAGGTGGGTGGGGAGACAGGAGAGAGAAGGGAGCCTATTCTGACAACACAATTTTGGTCTGCTGGTTTGAGAGCTGCTAAAGGAGTAATAGAGGTAGAATTTTAAAAGTAGTTTATTATTTTTAGTTTTCAATAATATTTTCCAGTGTTAAAAAATTAATGTCTCACTTCTCCTACCATTTAGCAAATTAAAAAAAAAAAGCAAAACCCCAAACCAGATCCCTTGATGCATAATTATGTTGTTCAGCAAACAAATCTCCACCTTAGCCATTTCTGAAAATGTTTGTCTCTTTCTACATTTTAAATTCATTATCCCTTGTCAGGAGGTGAATGGCATATTTCATCTTCATTCTTCTGAACTCCTGGTTTATCATGTCATTTATCTCAGTTCTAAGGTTTTTCAAAGTTGTTTTTCTTCTATAATACTGTTATTGTATAAATTGTGCTTCTGTTCACTTTACTTTGCATTAGTACATAAAGGTCTTCCTGGTTTTCCTCTTAAATTGTCCATTTTATTATTTCTTATAGCACAATAATATTTTACTATATTTACGTACTACAATTTGTTTAGGCATTCCCCAATAGGATGCCTG